TTCAAAGCAGAAAGGGAGGACTGCAATTTGGCAGGGGTAAGGGCAGTTGTGAAGCATTTTTCTTACCAATTTTTAATTATTTGCTGAATGTAAAAAGAGGAAATGAAGAAGCTGTCTCTAAATTGAAGGACAGTCTAAAAGAAAAAAAAAATCAATAACATTTAAAGAATCGGATTTTTAGTTAGTACTTCATGAGTCCTTTCCAAACTATTAAGTAGTTGTAATTTAGAGACAGTGACTGGAACACTGGAACATCTGATTCTGGAATATCAAATGTTAGTATCAATTAGAGCTATTGTTGTGTTTGTGGTCTGAAATAGAGCTTTCTACCACTTGGAATACATTCAAAGGATGTTCATGGTAAAAACTTATTTTATAACAGCAGTTTCCAAGGATCAAAAAGTGGTTTATCAAAGAACACTCATCGTGGGTAATGAGTCAACATAAGAAGTATTCTGCAAATAACTGTTAGTTATCTTCATATTGCAAGTGAATAGAAAGAGGTAAAATAAGTCAGGGGATTTTATCCATTTTGTCAGTAGAAGGTTGCCCTCATATGTTAAAGAATATTGAGTAGACACTTGCTAAGTAGACCTTAGCCTGTAGACCTTAGCAAAGCCTTTGACAGTGTCTCCCACACTGTTCTCCTGAAGAATCTGGCAGTCCATGGCTTGGATGAGTACAGTCTGTGCTAGTTAAAAAAACTGGCAGGCCCAGAGAGCGCTGCTGAAGGGAGTTAAATCCACTGGTCATGAGTGAGTTCCCCAGGGGTCAGTACTGGAGCTTGTTCTGTTTGATATCTTTACTGATAATCTAGATGAGATTGAGTGCACCCTCACCAGGCTGGGGGGAAGTGTTCATCTACCTGAGGGTAGGAAGGCCCTCCAGAGGGATCTGGACAGGCTGGATCAATGGTGAAGTTCAACAAGACCAAGTACTGGGTCCTGCACATGTGTCACAACAACCCCATGCAATGCTACAAGCCTGGGGCAGAGTGGCTGGAAAGCTGTGCAGAGGAGAAGGATCTGGAGGTATTGGTCGATGCTCATCTGAACATGAGCTACTTGTATGCTCAAGTGGCCAAGAAGGCCAATGGTATCTTGGCTTGTAACAGAAATAGTGTAGTCAGAAAGAGCCAGGAGGTGATCATTCCCCTGTACTTTGCCCTGATGAGGCCTACTGTGTTCAGTTCTGAATACCTCACAATAAACAAAAGACATTAAGGCCCTGGAGCGTGTCCAGAGAAGGGCAACGAAGCTGGTGAGGAGTCTGGAGCACAAGTCTTATGAAGAGCAGCTGAGGCAGCTTGGATTGTTTAGTCTGGAGGAGAGGAGGCTCAGTGGAGACTTTACTGCTCTCTACAACTCCACGAAAGGAATTGTGGCGAGGTGGGGGTCAGCCTCTTCTTCCCCATACCTTGCAATAGAACTAGTAGGAATGGCTTCAAGTTGTTTCAGGGAAGGTTCAGATTGGATATTAAGAAAAAAATTCTCTGAAAGAATGGTTGGACACTGGAACAGGCTGCATGGAGGAGTGATGGAGTTACCATCCCTGGAGGTGTTCAAGAAACATGTAGATATGGTACTAAGGGACATGGTTTATTGGTTTATGGTTCCGTGATTCTCTGATTCTGTGAATGTAAATGCACAACCCCTTTCCAAAGAAATGGCAGGAAGAGGAAGCCTATAATTGACTCATTATTTTTAATCTCCTAATCTTTACCAACATAGCCTCTGGAACAAAGTAGTACTGCACAACATTTACTTAGAACTCATGACGAAGTAGTAATTCACATTCTTTATGTGGAGGAAATAAGGAAATGTGGATGCTTACCACCTGATTATATTTCACACTCATACTTTATCTGACAATAGCATTGTTGATCTTCATTTTAAATCTATGTGGAGATGCTCAAATAACAAATAGGTGATGATCAGAGAAGTA